ATTTCTCTTTTCTTAAAATGATGTTTCCATTTGTTTCGCACATTTTAGGTTGCCCGTGACAGGTAAGTAATAATCAACATGACAACTGTCACAGGTTTTTAATTGTGTAGTTGTTTCCCGCCATACCATCAGTTAAGAATCTTTTACATAGCTAGATTCGAGTATCGAAGAACATTGTTTGACTTCATTTGAAAAAATTTGTAGAACACATTTTTGAATTTATATGAATTAGATTAACACCTTGAGCAAATTACATTGTTAATAATAAACAAAAATTAGCACAGAAATGGGAACCTATTTAGTATTTAGGCTAGAAAAAACTTTTAAGATAATAAATCATTCCACAAAATGATATTTTAATATTTATTTCGTTATTTTAATGGATACAAAGTACCGGACAAAAATATGATTTTCCGAAAATATGCATTAGATAAAAGATGTTTTTTATAACTTAAATGCATTGTTATCAAGTTGGCACTTATTTCTGAAGCACTAGCACAGCTGTGGAACAATTATACCCGGGCTGAAAACCAGACGAATAGCGGAAGTTATCTGTGAAAATATATTTAAATTTCTTTTACTTTTTCCGCAAGTTTCGATCAATTCTGATAATCCTAATCCACTCAAGCAAATTGCTAGTAATAATGTGCACAAATCGTTAATGAATTAATATTCAAGATTACTTTTAATGACATTTACATTTGTATTACAAATTACATTTTTGGTGCATTGGAATAAGTTTTGTACAACTTTTTTAACGTACTGATATTATGTGTTGTACTGTTGTACTTAAATAATAATAACAGGAGTATCTACATTATATACTACGTACAACAAATGAAGAATTTATTGTATGAGTCATTAACTACGCCTTAATAACTATTTTAGCACCGAAATAAAAAACTTACAAACTATTTTAAATGGAAATGAAAGGAAGTACGAACTGAAATTGCCCGACAATGCCAGCGGTGTTATGAAAATCGGTGCAGGCAATTAAACCGATCGCGATCTAAAACTCCGTTAATATCATACATTATGGGTAGCACTTGAGCAAAAATGCTCGAGCTATTCTATTAAGAAATAGTTAATTTCGAGTTGGAGTTTCACAGTCTAATAACTGAAACAGTATAACGAAAAATTAACAAACTTGGGGGGAGTGGTTTATTATGCAAGTTTCCTTGGACTTTTATTTGTTGCAACCACGTGCTGTGTGAGATTAATACAGACTACGTTTCCGACACGATTTGTATTGCTCCGCTTTAGATGGGTAACTGCTTCAACGGGATTTACTCATTGATTTTAATGAATATCCTTTGTACCGCTTATGCAAACTACAAAGTACGTATTAGCACTTTATAGGTTGCAATCACAGGTAACAACTAAATGCTGTGTTAAAATTAAATTAATGTGCAGTGCAGGATGAAGTAAACGTCGTTCTCGATAATTATATGTAACATTGAAAAAAAGAAAAAGAAAACATCGCAAACTCTAGTTCATAAGCTCCCATAACATATTTCTTGTTTCTATAGTTTTTCTTAACAAAAAGATTCTACAAAATTACGATTTGGGATTTTTGAAAAACTGTTGCATTTGAAATATATACGATTTTATAGATTGGCGTATAGGCCAAGTTTAGAACAAAACTCTCGCTTTTTACTTTATTGTAAAGGCATTGAACTAATTCAAACGAATTATTTTTTTTTGTTCTTCGATACAAGTAAAAGATATTTAACAGTTTTCAGATGTTCGACTTATTTTTTATTTAAAATTAACTACTTATTTCACAAAAAAAAATCTAGTCAAAAAATGCATTGTGTTTAACTGTTGATATTGTATTTAAAATCAAACTTCGAACAAAAAATTCATTCAGATCTGTTTTTCTTTAAATGAGCAGTTTTAGTTATTGCAATAATATGTAAATAGTAAGTTTAATTTAGTCATAGCCCAATAAGATGGTCAAAAGTCCCCCCTCTGGGATTTTCACCGAACATAGGGCATTCGATTCGGGATCAAAAAAGACCAAGCCCCCTAAATTTTCAGCCCCTGACAGTGTCCCCTTCGTCCGCTAGGGCGAAAAAGCTGTTTTTCAGTATTTTTGCGATAACTCGGGCTAGAAATAATATTTTTAAATGCGGTTTGCTGCATTCGAAAGGTTTTTCAAAGGAGCAGGCATTTAATTATTCTCCAAATAAATAATTTTTCCTCATTTTTTGAAACAGATTTATGATGGAAAAATTTCGAGGGCCAGAAACTTGGACTACAGGGTTTTTGAGGGTGCTAAATCGATTTCTGAGGTCTGATTTCGAAGGGAATCGATCCTGAGGGATCAGAACTTGGATTCAAGTGTCTCAGGGACTTGATGATGATTCAATACCCGCAAGAACGTGGCAATAAGATCACCAATCCCTTGAAAATCGGTCAAAAATTACCAAAATCGCATATTGGACGTTTTTTCGACCTTTTGCACCATTTAAAAAAATTTTCGCAATAAACCATCTGAAAGGTAATAAAAAATGCCAAAAAATGCCGGTTTTCAATTTTGTGCCGGGAAGAAAAAAAGTGCTGAAAATCACGTTACAAATATTGAAATGGCCGCCATTTTTCGGTTATGGAGCCGAAAAATCCGAAAAAAATCACACGCCTGCTTCTTTGAAAAACCTTTCGAATGCCGCAAACCGCATTTAAAAATATTGTTTCTAGCCCGAGTTATCGCAAAAATACTGAAAAACAGCTTTTTCGCCCTAGCGGACGGAGGGGACACTGTCAGTGATCCCGAATCGAATGCCCTATGTCCGGCGAAAATTCCTGAGGGGGGACTTTTGACCATCTTATTGGGCTATGCCTTAAAAGTAATAGTAATAATAATTGGAAAATGCAAGATATTTTTTGTTTTAGATTAGGAGCTAATTCCAAAATAGTTACATAAATATTTTGGTGATTTCGCCCAGAATCTATGCAACTTATTGACAAGTGATGACTGATGAGTAGGTACATCTACCTAATTAGGTCATTAGTCCAAATTTCATCAATACACGACAAACTTCGTATTTTTGCAAATGCAACATTTTCCAAAATTTCGACATGTCTTAAGAACAAACAATTTTAAACCTTTGATTCATTAAACGTAATCTCCAAGAGCTTCTGATTTATGACATATACTTCTATAGAGTGTCTAAAAGTATATATTTGTGATATTTCTTATGTTATTTTTTTTTATACTGCAGATTATTGTATTATTGTTTATTATTTTTTTCATTTTTTTGATGTGGCGAAGTACACGAAAGAAACACCCTGTGTGTTATCGTCTGCAACATATTTCAACAAAAAAAAGAATAATTGAATTTTATAGCAGGTGATAATCATTAATGTTTATATAAATTGGAGTCACACAACAATTCCTCTTTTTAATGATATGATGTTTCTTTGCAGATGGTTAAACAGAATTTTAAACTTTTAAATTGGATCACAATTAAGAAAGACGCGGATGTGATAATTTAAACGTAATAACTCAGTGACAGTTGACCTTTTGCAGATTTCTATAAAATTTACTGCAATTGTATGTAGAAAGTTTTAAAGTATGTATTTTAAATCGGATGGTGACGAGAAAACTGAAACAATTTTTTTTAGTTTCGTGATTGCTAATACCATATCATATAAAAAATGCTATTGTTATGAACCCTACTATTAGACATGTCAAAAAATAGTAAACCAAGCTTATGTGAATGATTAGCTTTCATTAATTATTATCTTTTAATTTTTTGAAGTGATGTGCAATTATTGATAGTATTTCTTGTTCATATTTGTTAAATGTTGCAAACTTTTGTTATATTAATATTTCCTTAAATATAGACATACAAAGTGAACAATTTTTTTTAGTAAACGCTGTGTACACTCTGAAATCTACTTAACAGACTTCGTCTCGGCATCTCGACACTAGAATATTTCCCTACATTTCGATTAGTTTTGGAGTCCTTGAATTGACCGTAATAAAACTTAAATTAGTTTGTAATAAAATAAAAACATAAAACCCACTACAGAAATGAGACAACCCCCAAATCCAAAGCCAAAGGCTTGTGCGGAAGGGGGCTACACTTGAAAAAACGCGGAAAATAAACAGATATTTTGCTTTAATTAATTATTATTTGAATACAATTAGAATTTTTAGTTTAGTAGCAACTTGTACAAAATATAGTTCACAAAATATTTTTTATTCAAGTGAAAATAAAAAACTATTCATTTTCATGTCTATGCAGAAAGCAATTATTAATTAATTTTTAGCAGTAGTTCAAATATCATTATTTTTATATTATGTGCCCATAATAAAAATCGCTTTTTAAGAAAATAATTTATTACATACTATATTCTAGAATTCTATAGATGGCCGTAAGGAAAAAGTATACTAAATGAAAATCTGTTTAAATGATTCCTTGAAAGTATTCCAATTAGAATAAGTAAGTAATTAGTGTTTTATTACACCATATGCCTAATAATAAAATCTGTATTTGTCTTGTCTGAAAACATTAATTAAGTCCCAGTTTTCAATACTTTTTTGCAAAATTAGTATTGCCTATAGCTTTCTCTAAACTTTTACCTTCATATTTTAACAACAAGAAATCAAAATGTGGAATTCGACAATAAATGAAAAAACAAAAATTTAACCCCTTTGTTGTTGAGTCCAAAATTAAATGTCATTTAATAAATTTATGGGTTAATTTAAAACTACCGTCTTGATAACACCATTGTCACTAAGATCTTTTAAAGTAGACAAAAGTCTTATTTTTTATTAATGTACATAATATTATTAAAATATTGCAACAAGGCATGTTCACTGAGGTATCCCGTTCGTGAAGGCAAAGTAGATCTCAGCAGATTCACCCGGTGAAAGTACAAGAGGACTTGAGTGAGTGGTAATCATTATGGGGGTATCAGAAGGAACCCTCTCCAACCTACTAGTATATAAAGACGCCTCTCTAGGGGGTTAACATCATTGTCTGCATTTCTTCACACACACACACACACAGACATGAAACCGTTTTTGGTAAGTCCGCGAAGTATACATACCCATATAAATACATTTTCATTCGTACAGTGTTAAAGTTATTAAAGGTTGGATGAATTAAATTCGGCATATTTTGATTTCCAGATAACATCTTTGCTATTAGCAGTCGCCACTTTGGGATCATGTGGCGAGGCTAAGTCAAAAACGGTGAACAAAAACGAAAAACGAGGAATACTGTCTAGCGACATTGGTAGCGGTTACGGGGGAGGCAGCAGCTATGGAGGCAGTAGTTATGGAGGCAGCAGCTATGGAGGCAGCAGCTATGGAGGCAGCAGCTATGGAGGCAGCAGTATATCCCTAGGAGGCGGCCACGGAGGCGGTATCAGTCTCGGTGGTGGACTAGGAAGTGGACTAGGAGGTGGATTAGGAGGTGGCCATGGAGGCGGCCTCGGCGGCGGACTCGGTGGTGGATACGGAGGCGGTCTAGGCGGCGGTCTCGGTGGTGGATACGGAGGCGGCCTAGGCGGCGGATACGGAGGCGGCATCGGCGGAGGATTAGGAGGCGGCATTGGAGGTGGATTTGGAGGCGGCATCGGTGGTGGCATTGGAGGAGGTTTTGGAGGTGGTGCAGGAGGCGGCGGCGGTGGTGGAGCTACCGTCACTACCATCAGCCAAACCGTTCCAGTTCCAGTACCACAGCCTTATCCTGTTACTGTTGAAAGACGTGTTCCCGTTCCTGTTCCTCAGCCTGTTGCCGTTCCCGTACCAAGACCAGTTCAGGTAAGATTTTTTAGCTAAATAATAGAGTTTTACGAGTATATGTCATTTATAAAATTATAACTCACATTTTCAGTAAGTTTCTAGTTTTAATCTTGGAATATTTATTAAATGACGGAAATTTGATAAAATTATTTAAAATACCGTTCTCTTGTCATACTTATTTATGTGAAAACGTAGGAAAAAAATGTTTATTTGTATCTTCTTGATGAGTATAAAGCATTATCATTAGCTTCATTTTTCAAAAATGATTCGAAACATCGTTAAGTTCATATTTTAAGGTGGCATATAAACACTGATTTAATTTTTCCAGTATTTTTCATTTGATATAAAAATTATTTGCAACATTAGAGAAAGGCCATGAAAATGAATTTTCTACTGAAGGTTTAAAAAATATATATTTCGACTACGACTATAAAAACTTTATTATTACTCTAATTTATTTTTAAAATAGTCGCTAATTATGCTAAATTGCTATTTTGCTTTACTTTAAAGGTAGTAAACTCATTCAAAATTAATTCTAAAATATTTCGTAAATTCTCATCAAAAGAAATACCTAATATATACTTTTTGATACCAAATATCTAAAAATTCTAAAGATGGTAAAATATCAAATCATTAATAATTATCCGAAATGAAAAACAATGAAAAAATTTAAACCTAATATTACTGAAATTATTAAATAATCTTGCACATCTTCAAAGAAGCTATGTCCTGTTCTTAATCCAAATAGCTTAATATCACTTTGGACAAAGACCCACCCGGAAATTGATTGGATAAAAATAGTATCATTTTGTTCACAGTAATTGAACCTTTTAACAAAATTTGTGAATAAATACTAAAAATATTTGTTCGCATAATTAGTGAATGAATATTTAAATAATTGCTTTTACCAAACTAAACGAAATTGGAAATATATCTTAATCATTGTTTCAAAATTACTTATTATAAAATACAATTCTAAACTATCACGTTTTTCTTAGCAATCGATACTTGCACAAATCTAGCAGCCTATTAGTACAAACTAATCGCTAACGTCTGTTGTTTCAGGTTGCAGTTCCAGTCGCCCAGCCAGTAGAAGTACCCAGACCATACCCAGTAGTCGTTAACCGACCAGTTCCTGTACCAGTCCCAACTGCCGTTCGTGTACCTTACCCTCAACCTGTCGGCATACCAGTTCCTCAACCCTACCCAGTCACTGTCCCACAACCTGTCCCAGTTAGAGTACCACAAACCGTCGTAGTACCCGTTGCCCAACCCGTCTTCGTCGGCGGAGGCGGCGGTGGTGCTGGAGGTGGCGCCGGAGGTGGTCTAGGAGGTGGTTTCGGAGGAGGTCTTGGCGGTGGTCTTGGAGGTGGTCTAGGAGGTGGTCTAGGAGGTGGTCTAGGAGGTGGCCTAGGAGGTGGCCTAGGAGGTGGTCTAGGAGGTGGACTCGGTGGAGGTCATGGCGGTGGCTTAGGAGGTGGATTAAGCGGTGGATATGGAGGAGGATACGGCGGCGGATATGGCGGCGGATATAGCGGTGGATATAGTGGCTCCCTTGGTGGTGGCATTGGGGGAGGTCATGGAGGTTCCATCTCTCTAGGTTCCGGAGGCGGCCATGGTGGTGCTACCAGTTACTCCAGCATTTCCATCGGTGGAGGTGGAGGCGGCTACTCCAAATACTAAGATACTCATGTATAAGACTAAAGTCATGCTCATTTCTATCATCTCATCTTCAAATTCTTCCCATGTTCGATCGTTACCAATGTGATAACAGTATTTTATGTTACTTAAGGAGGTTGTCTCAGCCATTTGTGTACATACTTTAACATCCCTTAATAAATGAAGTATTTTACTAAAAGTTTTTTTAATTTATTTATTATAATTCAAATGCCTGCTGTTGATACTGGATCCAAACCGGTTGAATTAATTTTATCTATCATTGCAACTGTTAACGATATACAATTTTACCCTATGTTCAGTCGTATCTAAAAGTGTATGATGGTTTTGCATAGTGCATCAAAACCTTTATGAGCGATTATCGTCAAGACGATTAGATTTGTCAATACAGATTTTTAGGACAGAAGAAAAAAATGAAATTAAAATAATTGTTATGAAAATCACCTGTCATCCCGATCTAAATCTACATGTCATGAATGGTGCATCAATTTTATTGCAACGTCATAGAATTCTATACTACTAATACTTTTACTAATACGTAAAATAGAAATCATTTATTTTTCTCTTTAAAAGACAACGGTTTCCTTAAACCTCAGAGAATAATATGTTCATGCAATTTCTTCCTTATTTTGTTATACCAATATCAAAAGTTTGTTACATTGTTTTTTTCTCCTACTGCTTTGATTGAATATCTTTTAGTTACATATAGATCCTGTTGAATTAAAAATGCTTACTAAATTACTTGTTTGCATAGAGAAAATTAATAAGTGCATTTATTTATCTTACTGCAATCTAATCTGTATCTATAAATTATCTGCCAAAATAAAATAGTACAAGTTGAATTTGAATTTAGTAAGTTAATTTAATAGAAAGCATTTGAAACACAAATAAAGGGAAGGGAAGGGAACCAGATTGTTAAATAAAAAAGTCATATCAAACCACAAATTATTTAATGTTCACAAAGTTAAAGCTACTGAAAATATCACACAATTAACACTCGGCAAAGTGGTTACCAAATTTTACATTTTTTGTACGGATTCATTGGGCTTCCTTTGGGGCAATTAAATGACTTAGCGAAGTCTTCGGAATTCTGCAATGTTCCAATTACTCTTACCGAATTTGGAGAATGTTCATCGTACTCTAACTGATCCTGAAGATCCTGAACAGTGGTAGACTCACACCAAATCTGAAGAAGACAATTTTATTTATTCTATGTGGTAATTGATTAATTGTATTCAGAACAAAAATATTTTCACTTACACTTCCATAAGCAATAAAAAACATTTGACTGCTTGTAAAATTCTCAAAACCAGGCAATTTTGGTTCCTCGCCGAATTCATTAATATATTTCTTGTAAGCTGTGAAGGCTTGGTTCAGTCCTCCGTTATCCGCTAGATTTTCTCCGAGGGTATTTTTTCCTTTCACCTAAAAAGAACTTAAAATTATTATTAACAAATCTACAAATTAATTCTAAAGCATCATATAAATTTGATCAATGTTGGTTGCCTATTCTATAAGCTCTGTAGACCTAAGTACTTCAAGTATAGATTACTTTCTATAAACAAATACATTATATAATTCAGTTATTTAAACATTCAGAAACTAAAGTGAAATATCAATGATAAATTTTGTTAGTTTCAAACAATTGAGAAATTCTAGGATATTTCCATATCTTTCAAATATTTGTTTCCCGATAAAATTAATACCAAAACTAATTTGCTTACATGACCCTCCACACCTTCAATTGTGAAATTGTCGTATTGCTTAATAAAGCATTCTGTTAAATTTTCAAAAGTTTCTATAGTCTTATTGGTCCACCACTGAACGTGATTGCCATATTTATCGTGCTTTCTCCCTGAAATAAAATTGTTTCAGTTAATAAAACTAATCGATATAACATGAGAGTCAGATTGGATTAAATATTTCAACAGACATTAATATCAATGTAAATACTTCTACTACTCACATCTACTTAAATGGAGGTAGATATTAAAATTGACCTGATTATTATTGATTGACGTTCACATTAATTCACAAAGAACTAAATAGAGGCAGATGCGTGGTAATAAGTAGAGAAATTAAAAAATATATTGGACCATCATCGTCCTTCAAATAATTATTACTATTTTTTCTCGTAAATTAACTAGAACAAAAGGTTAAACAACATACATTTCCGACATTTCTAGAAAAGCAAACCAATAATCCAAAATATTCAAATATTGAATATATCTCTTTTTTTAACCAAGTCTATCCCAAATTGGTAAATATTGGTATTGGTATTGGTAAATAATATATAATCCAATCGCATCCTTTTTCTATCTCTACATGAGTATTTTCATTACGGGAATTTTTCATTTTACATAATACAAGGTGTTTAGATATTAGGAGATTTATTTTTAATAGGATGTAGGTCTTGAATATATGGTCGATTGCAAAAAGTTTACCTTAAAAGCTGCCTATAAATGGAATGAATTTTTTTCTTCAAGTTTATAAGTTGTTTATAAGTTGTAATAAGTTATAAGTTGTTTATAAGTTGTTTATTTTGAGATTAGCCAGATACTGTTTCTATAATATTAAAATAAATAATAACAGGAAATAAAAAGTTTTTATCATACCCATGTTATCAAAACCGTGGGTTAATTCATGTCCTAAAATGGCCCCTATGGAACCATAATTCAAAACCCTGAAATAGCATTAACAATAATTTCTTAACGCAAAATATTTATAATTTCAACTTACTCCAATCCTAAGTTATACACAGGAAAATTCAAAATCGCCATTGGAACGTCTGAAATTATATAATTTCTAAGATGTAATAAGCTGAACATTTACAATATAAAGTATACAACTTGTACAGGGTGATTGACTATATTTTGACCCCTCTTTAACTTTTTTGTTTTAAGAGTTATAAAAAAATGTGAAATACAAAAGTTGCACAATTTTTCATGAATTTTTCGAAAATGACAGTAGAAGAACAAATGAAGTCCAAACAAAATGGCCGCGGGTGTTAACTTTGTTAATTTAAATGGATATTTTTACATATTTGAATAGAACGTTCTCTGTCGAGCATAGTCATATAGGGTTTGTTGGGTCAATCTCTAACAATAATCGAGATCCTATTAAAGAACGAAAAGAAGTTTTGTTTTATTAAGAAAATAAGACTTCTTGTCAGGCATTTCAGATTTTCAGATTTTTCAGATTTTTTCAGGCATTTTTGCTTTTTTTTCCAATTACGTAAGGATTTACAAATTTAATTATATATTTTGACATATCGGACATTGATACGGTCCAAAATGCGTATAGATAATTTAACTAAGTCTCACTAATTAGGCCTTAGAGGCCTAATTACTCATGGACAATGTTATATGGTAGGTCGTGACAGTAACAGGTAGTAATGCCATGATAACATTGTTACTGATTGACAGTTTGTATTATTATTTAATTAATATCTATGGGTTACACAGAAGTAGATAATTGAAATATTATTAGGAATTAAAATAGAGTATGGAGAAGAACTTTGCTCCATTTTAATTCCTATAATATTTCAATTTTCTACTTTTTGTAAGCCATTTTAATTAATAACAGAAAGTGTCAAACAATAACAATGTTGTCATAACATTACCTATCACTGTCACGGTCTACCAAATAACATTGTCAACGACTCATTGACAATGAGTTAGGCCTCTCACGGCCTAATTAGTAAAAAATAGTTAAAGTACCTATTCTCATTTTGGACCATATGGTATGTCAAAATATATTACAACTAAATCTGCAAATCCTTATGTAATTGGAAAAAGGCAGAAATGCAGGGGATAATCTAAGGAATTTTAAGAACTAGAAAGCGTCCGAAAAATTCGATTTGTGCAAATAACAGTAAATGTCAGACAAGAAACTCTAATTCTTTGTTATATCCTTTCCAGTTTATTAATTTTAAATGTTCATGTAATGTACTCAAAATACATAGTCATTGTTTTATTTCAATAAATTTATGTTATGTTATTTATTTATTAACCTTTTAGAGGACCGGCATTTAACAAGTATTCATGAAATTTCAATTCCATAGTACTTCAAGCAATCAAATTTTGCAACTGCCCTTTTTAACTTTTAGAACTAACTTTTTATTTTAAGAACTGCCTTTTCGGTTAGAACTAACCCTTACATTGCGCTGCAGAAATGCCTGAAAGAGGTCTAACAAATACAAGATATCTTATTTTCTTAATAAAAAAACTTCTTTTTTAATAGTATTCCGCTTATTGTTAGAGATGGACCCAATAAATCCTATTTGTCTATGCTCGACAGGGAACGTTTTACCCAAATATGTAAAGACAGTAATATACGGGGTGTTCCATTTAAATTAACAAAGTTAACATCCGCGACCATTTCGTTTGTACTTTGCTTCTCTATTATCATTTTCGAAAAAAATATAAAAAAATCGTGCCACTTGTGTATTTCACATTTTTTTATAACTCTAAAAACAAAAAAGTTAATGTGGGGGGTTCCCCCCCCCACATTAACAGTGAATCGCCCTGTACTTACTTATAGCATTGTCAGAGAAGGAATTAAAAGCGTTGACTTCGATAGGCTCAGCGTACCAGTCCCTTTCGTGCTTAACCCTCAGAGAACTAAATTTTCTCAAATTATGAGAGAGAATTGCACTCATCATATTGTCTAAGTACGTGTCTGATTTCACTGTAACCTGTAAAAATGTATATAGTGAGAATGATTGCATTGCCGTTTCAAAATTTAACAAAAAAATGTTTTGCGTTTCATTCAATTCATAACAGCAAAGTTGCGACAAATTTTTAGGGTTAATTTATCTCTTTTTCCTAATTCCGACGCCACTGACTAATTTTTGATCAAAATTTACATAAAAGTATTACTGCGAAGAAACTACACTTTACCAAATTAGTCTATACATTCAATGGTTCTTGAAAAATTGAAAATTTTCAAATTAGAAGGACTTTTCAACCTCTAGTAAATCGTTACTCGCATTATGTAAATAATAAAAATTTGCTTTCTTTGGTATCTAACACATACGGGTAATAATAATAATAATAATGAGATGAGTTCTTATGATGCTTTTTCGAGAACTATTAATCAACCTCAAACTGATTTTTTTTGAAATTATATTTTGCCATCATTTTTCTTCGATTAAACTATTTTGTTATTAAAATATTAATAGGTACGTCAACAGGAAACTAACTTTTTTGTACGATTTTTATACTATCTTTAATAAGCTGATTCATTTTTTTAGAAATTGCAACTAAATAAGTTGTGATCAATTCTTTACTCAATAAAGGCCATTACGGGTTTCAACATTTTTTTAATTGTTCCAAATTTGAAAAATGTCGCTTGATGGAACAAATGGTTCTAGCAAAAGGTCAATTATAAGAAAACAACTTTAAAACTGCGTACCTCCGTTACCATTGAATTTCCCAAAAAGTGTCACAGGAACTAACATTTTTATGAGTAAAATCAGTTCCTAATTTATTGCACTTTATGTTGATTCACATTGAATATATAATTGAAGATTTTATCATTAATGACTTATCTCAGTATTTAAAGTACAGTAAAACTAATACGAAATATCCGATAATCTTTTTCAGCGGATTTAAGTGAATGTAACACTGGTTTACGTAATCGTTGGGAAGTGGATTCTATTCGTCAAACTTAATTAGTGACTTGATGTTTAATGATTTAAGATTAATCATTACTTTCATAATGTTACTCACTACGCTAATGAATGCCACAACAGTTTATGTCACTTAAAAAAAGTTATTGCTCCACATTAATGCAGTGGAAGAGCAGATTCTTTTTTAGATATCCCCTTCACCACTGGTATTCCCTCTTTTTTCTAATATAATGCAAATAGTTTTCTTTAGAATTAATACGGTTTCATGAATGGAATGATTTACGTTTACAAGCTGTTGTACTTTCTTTTCTCAAGAGGAACATGACAATGCCTTCAATCTTCAGAGTACATAATATTATTTGACAAGAAATACTATGCTAGATATCAATTTTATTGTAGCGATTTGTTTTACACCTTGAAGCGACATCGAACTTTTACGCATGTAACTATTTGTAAGAGATATTTCATTATTATTACGTACATCTTTGTAGTAGTCATCCACCCGACCTTCTTCAAAGAGCCAGTCAGGATATCCAATAAAAGTAATCATTTCTTTACTTTTCTCCAAAGTTACTTTCTTTGTTTGGGAATCCATCCAGTTTATGCTCTCCACATGTTGCACGAAAGCGTTCTTTATTTCACTGATCATCTTCTCTACCTAAAAACATCTTATAACAATTTGTTCTTAAGGCTATCCTTTTAACATCAATTTACAAATTGAAAAAGGAATGTCTCGTAACAAGAACACATTTACTTGCATGTATAGTTTTATACAACATAGATTCTAAACTTTTCGAACAGTTTTCTAGAAAAAAAACTTTAAGAAGTTTAAATTCAAACTTCGACCTCTCCATAAATTGTTAATCGAGAATAGTTGAAGTATTAAACTGAAACATAGTAGTATCAAGGAAAGTATCATTTATTTCAAAATTAAGAGTTTTTCGTAAAAGTGTTGTGCAAGCATTATGGGATTTGTTAAGAAAAGGAATATGTGCAAATTAATTAATTTAAAGTTTTTACTATACGTTACTTTTCTGTCAAAGCTAGAAGAGGTGGCAATTTTAATTAGTTTATTTCTTTATTATTTTTTTAAAATATGCAGTAATATAAATAATATTTGAAATAAGGGGTAACTATAGGGAACAGCAATGATGAGAAAATGTGGAAAACATACAAGACATGTAAAAGTGTTGAAATACTAGAAAAGGAAAAACAGAAAAAATCTGTGACAATAAAAGAAATGTTCCTATACCATGCTCCTTAGCATAAAAGCTTAAATGTTATCCGTACATTATTCTCGGTTTTTCTTTATTAATTGATTTTTTATTGACTGTCAAAGTTGAGGGCCTATTGTTAAACAAATTAGGTAGGTAGCGGCAAAAAAAATGTCATAACCGGCAAGCCGAGTACTTTCCCAAATAATAATATTTTATTTGTGGAAGTATGTTAAGTGCATAAGAAATATTGTCAAAAGTCAGTGGGTCGCTTGATTTTCGGCTAGTCGTGGCGCGGCGAAAGGGTGGGGGAAGCGAACGACAGCGAGTCCGAAGAAAATGACGATAATATTCATAGTCCTGCTGTTAAATAAGCGAAATTCGCTTGAAAACAATATATCTGACAGTCTGCAACTCCGTTGTTTTTTAACGAATCTTGACGATTTTTCTCTTCTCTTTTCATAAGCTTTCCGAATATGTAATAATATATAACTATATCACGCTCGTGCGTCGTATATTTCATTTTACAGCTAAGGCTATAAATAAAAAAAATGTCCAGGTTGCAAATTTGAAATTTAAAAAAAATGATAGATTTCAATGTATTGTGAAATCTACCGTGAAAAAAATCAATGCCATTGTGGAAGATCCTCGGGATCGTCCAGACTAATAATTAGTTAATTTGTTTATAAGGCCATAACTTGTAAACTATTCAACTTACCGTTTCCAGTTTTCGTGTGAGTTATTAGACAGTGATAAGGAATGAGAGGATGCGATGCCAAAACATTCTGGTAATAACAAGGCAGTTTATAAATGTTTAATTCAAAAGTCATAAATTAACTTCTTCTGTTTATANAGAAAATGTCAGGTTAATTTCAATATTGTAACTTGTTTAGTGCTTGTGAAAAAAATTGTTAAACAAATTTTATGTACCCCCTTTAAGGGGCTGTATCTTAACAAGGGATGCTCCAATGAAGTTTCTTTATATGAAAGATCCTATATTTTTTTCGATGAGGAATCACCCCCTTAAATGTTTTACACTTATTTAGTTACACCCTGTATAACTATATCACGCTCGTACGTCGTATATTTCATTTTACCACTAAGGCTAAAAATTAAAAAAAAATGTCCAGGTTGCAAATTTGAAATAAAACAAAATTATAGATTTCAATGTATTGTTATGAAATCTACCGTGAAAAAAATCAATGCCATTGTGGAAGATCCTCGGGATCGTCCAGACTAATAATTAGTTAATTCGTTTATAAGGCCATAACTTGTAAACTATTCAACATACCGATTCCTGATTTCGTCTGAGTTATTAAACAGTGATAAGGAATGACAGGATGCGATGCCAAAACGTTCTGGTAATAATAACACAGTTTATAAATGTTTAATTCAAAAGTCATAAATAAACTGTTTATAACTTTTAATCTAATCAATATTTTTTGACGCTCGAGGACTAGTTTTGTAGGTCTTTTGAAGAGGAAAAAAAAGTACCTTACTTTTTTCTCGTGGAAATGAACGAAAAAAACTTATAAGCAAAAAACGTGAATTTACGTAAAAATTGTACAATTAACCACCCTGAAAACAATCTTCCCCCCATTTTTATGACTGTGGAAACTAATATGTTATTGTACATAATATTTAGCATCTATAGTGATAAATTCAGCTTGCCGAAACAAAAAGTAGCGTCCAACTCTATATTTCCTGGCCTACATACACGAATATCACATATTATCATTTTTGCAGTGAAACAAAATGCAACTTTTCTGTGCCACGACATATTTATAATAAATGATATCCAGATAGGTATATATCACAAACTAGGTAATTTGTTGCGGTCTCCCAGCGTATTTTGGATACTGGTAGTATTATTCCAGGCAGAAAGACTTGACAATATATATTTGTGATGATAATTCCGATATAAACCTAATTATCAGTTCAATTGATGTATCTAAAATAGCACTTTTGTCTTCATGTCCAACGAGTACAAAAATTAACAATGACAGATTTTCTACAAATACTGAATTTCTGCATGTTTCTTTTATGCAAATCGCATTAATTTTATTTATAAAATTGTAGTTACTGTAAATAAGACCAATTTTCATCATTCTTACCCTTGTAGGTACTAACGATAATCCTCATGAGGTTGCGCAAACTAACTTTCAACACAAATTTTTGGGTGTATATTGGTGTATTATAATATTATATGTAGAACATACATGCCATGGACACTCTATGTAGAAACACAGCACAGTCTAGAACTGAGCTAACATTTCTTCACTATGCTTAAATAAATGTATTCTTGATCCAAGGCAATATTCTTTCCATATATCAGAAAATAAAAATTTGAAATGAAGTGAATTCGAAACATAAAAGGTACATTTTTACCCAAGGATAAACGTTTCATTATTATTATATTATTAAACTAACTTTTGGTTTAGTATTTGTAGGAAAGGATTCGTCTGCTAGTACGTAACTCACGGCATAACCCATATAATTGTTTACCAAGAGTGCGCATTCCAAAGACCTAAAAATAAAGAAAAATCCCTTATATTTTATTAATATTTTTTCCATCATCAATACGAATAATCTACTTCAAAACTTAACTCTCCAAAATGAAACTAAGTAGCTGAAATTGGTAAAATAATTCTAATATATTTTCATTCAAAATCTGAATTAACACTTGCTTATTTCAAATAACTATTCGCCCAAAATGATGTTTATTGCCGACAACAAAGTAATTATTCATAGAATGCAATATGAAACTCAAAGACTCTAAGAGGAAAACCTAACACCTTCCAATTTAAATCACACTTACCTTGATCGTGCGATGTTAGTGACTCCATTACTATAGTACGCCAAGTGTTTATTAATATATTCGACAACATCTGAAGTCGTGTTGATAATCATGGCGTAGACAGTCACCCACCACATATACAATTCTATGTATATTTCTGGCGTTGCTAAAACGTATTTTACTATTCTTAACAAATACTGTATCTCTAATTCGGAGGTATATAATACATCTGTTTCCGGTTGTATCGTAACATTTGTACCAGCGAAGAGATCCTTGAAATAATTTGCCCAAAAGTCAGGATTAGGTTTTCCTAGAAAGTTATCAGTCTCTTTTTGAAGATAACTGAAGCTTATGGAATATGTGTCCTCTTCAGTAGCATCGGAATCTGTGTAATTCATATTCAACTGAAATTGAAATATTTATATTTACTATACAGAAAATACCTTACATCTATGAAATATCAAAGAAAAAAAATATATTAAATACTAAAAATGCGCTTTCTGTGTAAATGTTTAAATGTAATTTTTCCTTTAATGCGAACTTTAGTTTATTTAATAAAATAATAACCATCACACTTGCCTCTTCTATATAGTCCGAAATATTCAAAATCACATCTACAGCTTCTTGCAAAATCGTTTCATCGGGTTGGGCTGACGTATTATTAACAATTATTTCTTTTATTATATATTTCAATATTTTTGAATTTAGTTGTCTTAGTGTATCCTCATTATCGTTGTCATCGATCTTCGAATGAATCATTTTGTTCCTTTTAGCAGGACTAAAAATGTTTTAATTTTTTTATATGGATTTGGAATGAGAGAAAATTTGGTAAATCATGTAAAAATAAAAACACTATCTACACCAAACAAGTAAGTGCGAGTGAAAATGTGTGCTTTTACCTTGGTAATGGACATTTTTGATACAATTGTCCCACAAAAATGACATTCTCTGAACCATTATAAATGTTGGCATCGACTGCAAATCCAATAAATACATCCATCATGAAAATTTGCTTAATCAGCGTTTCGGTTTTCATCCAGTTGAAAGTGAAAGTTTCCTTTTCGGTATCAGTTACTGTAAATAAACTAGGAATCACTGGTAACCTTGCCCTCTTTAAATATTTATTCATAACGCCTATTCCAAGTTGATCTAAAGCATCTAAAAATTGTACAATTATTGATTCAACAATACAAATAAGCTAAAATGAGGATATATCGTCAATGTAAATCAGTGTCGTTTCAGCTATTACAATTGTACTAGATCTATTACATTTGAGAAAATTCTATTACCCTATTACTAAGTTGTCAAAATCTATTACACTATTAGGCTTTTTTTCGCGATTGAATATTGGTGAATATTTGACTTGTAGTTACTATTTCTATCTCTTTTGATCTTAGTTATCACATGGACTTCACTTGCAATTCTTGCAAAAAAAAGCCTATTGAATTTTTAGTTCGACAGTAAGGAAATTCTGGAGATGAAAAACCACAGAATCTTTATAAATTTATTTCAACCAAAGAACACAAAAATACATATGATTCCCTTGAAGAAACAATAACACTAAAATAAAATATAATTATAACAAAACGAAACTTTACTCAATAAAAACAAACTTTTGTTAAAAAATAAAATGTTAAATCACAGAGTAAGCTAAAGTTTAAAGATGTGAAAACGGTAAATTTCAGTCAACGAACAAATCCTATTACAGTTTTCTGTCAATCTATTACGATTTTCTATAGATTCTATTACAAATTATTTAAGCTCTGGAACAACACTGATGTAAATATATTTTCTACCAGTTCATTTCTGCATCTTGGCGTTTATATTCTGAAAGCTGTTATGTTTACGCCTTTATAATAAACAGAACTATAAAAAGAAATTGATTAAAGAAATACCTACCAATATCCATACACGACTTAAAGAAATCTCTACTCTTCTGTATGGCCTCTGGTTCATTTTTTGACGGTTCGGAAGTTAAAGCATTTAAAGAAGCAATAGCTACTTTTTCACTAATAGTAGTAAAACTAGAGAAGGAACTCCACCATCCATGATTTGGATGTTCTTCGGGCCATTTGCCGCATGTATATCGATAGAAATTACTACATGGATCTGCAGTAAAATCTAGTGAATATTTTATATTGGTAGCAGCCCTTAGACATTCATCTGTTGTGCAGATCTTTGGTTTCGGTTTTGTGTCTGAAATCCATATCCAAATAAAGAAAAAACATAACAGCACTTCGATGTTGGTGTACAAAACATTGATATTTGGTAATACCATAAAAAATATTTTTAAAGCGTTCTTAAATATAGCCCCATATTTAATGAATGACATTGGAGGAACTTTTTTTGAGAAAATTATCATAATTTCCTAACAAACCTTTTAAATAAACCCCAAAATTTTTGTTCTCGTTTAGATACGGCAGAAAATCTAAACGGTTGTACAAATTTTCATTTCTTTTTTCATATTGTTCCATATGTATTTAACAAAAATACCATAATACAGTTTGATTTTCTAAAACAGATAGACTTGTAATACTTACATAACACAGATATCACAATTAATGCAATTAAAAAAATTATGGCTACTAGAAGTAATAAAATCGACAGCCTTTTGTAAAATGCTGATTTCTTGAATCTGAAAATAAAGTATTTATTAATATAATAAATCTATAGATTTAATAATAATCATTATGATTTCGATCAAAACTAACAAAAGTTCGTAAAAAGTCTTTATTTTTAGATATAATTTAAACAATATTCAGTGTATATGGAATTAGAGATCCTTGAAATAAAAATAACATGACAACTAAATTTACCTCTATCCTCTAGTATCTAGAGGGAATCAAATTTGCCAAAACGTTTTAAGTTTATTTTCCGGATAAGTTTGAACACTTTGTCCTTAGCCTTACCTAGGATTCTTTGACCTACCCTCTTTGCTCTTGTAGCATCCTCTATAGTTAAACTCGGCGTTTCGAAGATACTGAACAGCTTCAAGTTTTAAAAGCTGTAAGAATCTATAAGAATCTCCATAACTTATTTCAAATGGTAGATAAATACGTAATTTTTGGTAGCTATAGGGTGAGACTATATAAGCGCTCTATCTTTCGTAATTAATATAAGTTAAAAAATATTATGCTAAGTATGTATTCTATTTTTCGTGTTACATTTCGATAATTACAAACCGTAAGAATTTTAAAAGAAATACCCTACATTTTTTTGTTCGATACATATAATTCGACACGCTTTTGACAATTGTTAAAGTTGCAACTGTTTGAGATTTAAAAATCACTGTCAAATCACTAAATTAGAATATAAAGGGTATCCCAAAATTCACACAAGTCGTAATTTTAATAGAAAACGCAGGTTTTTACTCGTAAATTATACATCTATTTATTCATAAAGTATACATTTATGTATGAAACAGCATATCGATTAAACCTGTAAATTTCACGACCAGGGAATGACTCATGCAGTAATTGAATTGTTTCCCTTGACTGTATGGCATGTGGCACAGTCTTGTTGAAATCACACATCCGTCGTCTACATCCATATCTTGCACTTTAGGCACAAAAAACTGGATTATCATGTCGCGATAGCGAACACCATTAACTGTTATTGCCTGCCCAGCCGCATTTTCGAAAAAGAATATTCCGATGATGCCTCCAGCCCAAACAGAGACACGTTGTGGACGCATTTGTTTTTCAACAATCACTCGTCGATTTTCTGTACCAAAAACGCGACAATTTTGTCGATTATCGAAGCCATTAAGATGAAAATGAGCCTCATCGCTGAAGATTATTTTGTTCGAAAAATCAGCATCCACTTGTTAAATTATCCATTCAACAAATTCTCTTAGCTCTGCGTGATCAGTAGGTTTCAGTGCTTGAGTCAACTGAACTTTGTAAGCAAGAAAATAAAAATCTTTCGTAAGAATGCGCTGTAGAGAGCTTCTCGAAATGTCCAATTCTTGACCACGGTGCCGAATTGATGCCCCCAGGACTCTCAGCGATACTCTCATGAACTGCTTCGACGTGTTGAATGACGACCAGAGTGTTTAAGATCACTAATTGATCTAGTCTTCCTGAATTTTTCAATTAAGTTAAATCATTATTCCGACCATATTTTATACAAAAATTGCGACTGTAACTACCAAACCTTCATTATTTTTAAAATATTTCTCAACAATGGAGAAGGTGTTCTTCTTTCGTGTAGCGCTTCTTTTTTATCACCTTTGACTGTTCGGTTTTTCGGTTTTTTTTTTTTTCGTTGGCAACATTTTACCGCATAAATGTCACAAATCAAATCAAATCTTGCGTTAATTTTGGGATACCCGATATGTAAATTAATTAATTAATTAATTAACTTCAAATTTAATGGTACTGAAGTTTTATTTTAGCTCATGGGGTAATGAACACATAATTATGTTTTTAGCCTTAAAATATCACGTTGTAGTAAAGAACATGCTAGTGGAGCAATCGTAGTTAAGAAGAAATTAATTGCTATGTTGACACCAATGAACGGAAATTAGTTGTACAAATATTTCTTTTAATCGATGTTGATAAATTTCATTTTAGATTCTTGTTATATACATAATTCTGAACCATACTGATTGTGAGAACTGAATAGAAATGACAACATATCAAATAATTCCTCTACACTGATTCGAGGCAGAATCCAAAAATGATATAGAAGGTATATCCAAAATACATAACTCAATGTTTTATACACTCATTTAAATTCGCAAATAATGCTCGTTTTCGCCGCAAGAAATCCATTTTTCTAACAGAATTCGATTTAGTTGTCCTTTTAAAAATTTTAATCGAAAAATCATTACACTAAAATTTGGTACGTTTCAAATTAAATGTATATTCAATAATGTGCTGTTGTATTTAGTGTTTACCTTAAAACTGGCAATGTCATTTTTTTAGTGGGACACCCAGGATCTACGTACTCAAAAATATACAAACGAAATAAATATATTTCTACTAATAACCGCAAGTAGAGCGTTCCAAAGATGGTAAAGTATGAATGTAAGAAATATCGATTACTCACATTTTTGACCTAGAGTTAACTTCGACTAAGTAATCATTATGTCCAGTCCTGGAGGGATATCCTGAAAAATATATGAGTGACAATAAATTAGCATAACTATAGAATTAAATTTAATTAGATTAAAATAGAATAGGTTAATTTCAATTATTATTTAAATTAAATTGATTATTTAACCATTTCCTGTACTACAATATAAATAAAGAGGTATTTAATTTATATACCTACAAAATACGTTTTCCGTTAAATACATAAGTAAAACACATTTTTGTATAAACAAATTTAAAATCTCAACAAGCAAGCTAAAATATTATTGAATAACGTAAAGTGCAATAGCAAATTATGAGAAAGTCCATAGCTTCTCCTTTGTTGTTTTCTAATTCCTCTTGTTTTTTTTTATTGACGGATTACACCAAAGGTGAAATGAAAAACTAAAAATATTTAAATACTAAATATTACCCGATCCCAAAGGACCCACCTATAAAAATTATAACCCCCCGTTAAAGCAGCCCAGTTTCATAATATAATAATCTTTTATAAAATCAAATTTTGGTGGTTTGATGTACCTAATACAATATTATTATTACATCCCAAGTAAACTAAACAAAACCATTATAATAATACATTTATGTAGCAAATTTATTAATGTTTAACGGCCAACATTAGCACAACTTAATCAAATTTTAATAAAACAACCTGTGAGGTATTTCCATTGACTGACAAGGCTTTTATTGTCTACATTCTACAACCAAACAAAGTAATTTTTTTGAAAAGGCACATAATTTAAATACAATACATTTGTTTGTATAGACCGTTGATATGGATTTTACTGTAATTCGAGGTACTTATATATATTTTTTAATTAATGATTGTGACCGCTAGGTGCTGACACAAAAGCAATTTCACTGAAAGTTCATTAAAACAAAATGATGTTTGGCTTGCTTTTCATTAAAAGCGTTATTATCCTTTAATGATATGTTATCTTATTTAGTAGGTACATAGCAATAGACACTATTTGCTAATTATTCACAACATTGTTGATAATCCTGTGGCGTCGAAATTGTTTTCAATTTACGATATTGCATGCATTGCAGAGTAGTAAGGGTTACTTTAAATGGAAATGTATTTTAATACACCCCATCAATTTGTTCAAAAACATGTAAATAATATTGGAATATCAGCTGCAGTTTTAGTTGACTTTGTGTAAGTAAGATTATGTATACAATGTGTTAATTTAAGGGTAATTGCACAAATAATTCCGGAAGTTATAGACAAAGTTCGAAAAGAGTTTACTGATCGTCTCTCTCACTGTATTATAACTGAAGGTCGTCAGTTTGATAATGTATTGTAACTTGGATTGGTAAAAATAATTTTTTTGTTGTAATTAATTAATAATTAGAGAATTACAAGCCCTTTCAAAAGGGTTATTGCATTTCCCACTTTTGTACTAAAAGAACACATCGATGACGTCATCACTGTCACACAGATATAGTCATATGTAAAATAAATATCTCGCACAACGCACTTTTAAAAATAAAAATGTATCTTTTCAAGATTTTTGTTCAAAGTCTCTGATTTGCAAATTTATTCCATTCATTTACACCATACTGTATATAAGCATTTACATATACAGAGTGTAAAAGCAAAGTTGCGANGTAATGAACACATAATTATGTTTTTAGCCTTAAAATATCACGTTGTAGTAAAGAACATGCTAGTGGAGCAATCGTAGTTAAGAAGAAATTAATTGCTATGTTGACACCAATGAACGGAAATTAGTTGTACAAATATTTCTTTTAATTGATGTTGATAAATTTCATTTTAGACTCTTGTTATATACATAATTCTGAACCATACTGATTGTGAGAACTGAATAGAAATGACAACATATCAAATAATTCCTCTACACTGATTCGAGGCAGAATCCAAAAATGATATAGAAGGTATATCCAAAATACATAACTCAATGTTTTATACACTCATTTAAATTCGCAAATAATGCTCGTTTTCGCCGCAAGAAATCCATTTTTCTAACAGAATTCGATTTAGTTGTCCTTTTAAAAATTTTAATCGAAAAATCATTACACTAAAATTTGGTACGTTTCAAATTAAATGTATATTCAATAATGTGCTGTTGTATTTAGTGTTTACCTTAAAACTGGCAATGTCATTTTTTTAGTGGGACACCCAGGATCTACGTACTCAAAAATATACAAACGAAATAAATATATTTCAACTAATAACCGCAAGTAGAGCGTTCCAAAGATGGTAAAGTATGAATGTAAGAAATATCGATTACTCACATTTTTGACCTAGAGTTAACTTCGACTAAGTAATCATTATGTCCAGTCCTGGAGGGATATCCTGAAAAATATATGAGTGACAATAAATTAGCATAACTATAGAATTAAATTTAATTAGATTAAAATAGAATAGGTTAATTTCAATTATTATTTAAATTAAATTGATTATTTAACCATTTCCTGTACTACAATATAAATAAAGAGGTATTTAATTTATATACCTACAAAATACGTTTTCCGTTAAATACATAAGTAAAACACATTTTTGTATAAACAAATTTAAAATCTCAACAAGCAAGCTAAAATATTATTGAATAACGTAAAGTGCAATAGCAAATTATGAGAAAGTCCATAGCTTCTCCTTTGTTGTTTTCTAATTCCTCTTGTTTTTTTTTATTGACGGATTACACCAAAGGTGAAATGAAAAACTAAAAATATTTAAATACTAAATATTACCCGATCCCAAAGGACCCACCTATAAAAATTATAACCCCCCGTTAAAGCAGCCCAGTTTCATAATATAATAATCTTTTATAAAATCAAATTTTGGTGGTTTGATGTACCTAATACAATATTATTATTACATCCCAAGTAAACTAAACAAAACCATTATAATAATACATTTATGTAGCAAATTTATTAATGTTTAACGGCCAACATTAGCACAACTTAATCAAATTTTAATAAAACAACCTGTGAGGTATTTCCATTGACTGACAAGGCTTTTATTGTCTACATTCTACAACCAAACAAAGTAATTTTTTTGAAAAGGCACATAATTTAAATACAATACATTTGTTTGTATAGACCGTTGATATGGATTTTACTGTAATTCGAGGTACTTATATATATTTTTTAATTAATGATTGTGACCGCTAGGTGCTGACACAAAAGCAATTTCACTGAAAGTTCATTAAAACAAAATGATGTTTGGCTTGCTTTTCATTAAAAGCGTTATTATCCTTTAATGATATGTTATCTTATTTAGTAGGTACATAGCAATAGACACTATTTGCTAATTATTCACAACATTGTTGATAATCCTGTGGCGTCGAAATTGTTTTCAATTTACGATATTGCATGCATTGCAGAGTAGTAAGGGTTACTTTAAATGGAAATGTATTTTAATACACCCCATCAATTTGTTCAAAAACATGTAAATAATATTGGAATATCAGCTGCAGTTTTAGTTGACTTTGTGTAAGTAAGATTATGTATACAATGTGTTAATTTAAGGGTAATTGCACAAATAATTCCGGAAGTTATAGACAAAGTTCGAAAAGAGTTTACTGATCGTCTCTCTCACTGTATTATAACTGAAGGTCGTCAGTTTGATAATGTATTGTAACTTGGATTGGTAAAAATAATTTTTTTGTTGTAATTAATTAATAATTAGAGAATTACAAGCCCTTTCAAAAGGGTTATTGCATTTCCCACTTTTGTACTAAAAGAACACATCGATGACGTCATCACTGTCACACAGATATAGTCATATGTAAAATAAATATCTCGCACAACGCACTTTTAAAAATAAAAATGTATCTTTTCAAGATTTTTGTTCAAAGTCTCTGATTTGCAAATTTATTCCATTCATTTACACCATACTGTATATAAGCATTTACATATACAGAGTGTAAAAGCAAAGTTGCGAGCTTTGCAAAGCAAAGCAAAGGGCTTTTTCGCGTCAAAACAAACAAAAAAACAAAGGTAACATCCTAAAACAATTTACAAGGTTTTGGTCAATTATTCCAAAACCATGTAAAATTTAAATAAAAACTTATCAGTGGAGTGGAATTCATCAAAATTAGAAAATCATCAATAGGTACGTACGTAATTACGAAACAGTCGAATCTATTCTCTTGGCTATATTCAATTTTAAAAAAAGCATGAATTTGTACAGAACTTTAAATTATACTGATATAATTCACGATGTAATTGAACTAGAACATTAATACGGAATGATATTCCAAGCACTGATTTCTTTTCCTCGATAGTCATATGAGTGAACTACCTGTATGTACTCGTATATTGAATTTATAAGCTAGATGTGAATAACAGGAAATAGTATTGTTTAAAGCCCTTATCGGATAGAAGGGGCAAAGAGAGAAGAAGACCATAAATATATTTATGAGGATATATCAAAATTTCTTTAATATATCGTCTTAAAAAATCTTAATTAATTACACTTCTTTCTTCCTATGTTATATAAAAAGTTAACTGTATAGTTATTAACCACCTAATGATAGATATATATTGTGGGAAATAACCACTCTACTGACTACAGATCTACTTAGCATTGAATTACAATTTCTTTCGAACTTTTAATTCTCATCAGTATGCTATTTTGATGTCTATTTACCGACACATTCTGAGTATGGATAAAATAAAACCTATAAAGTATGCCATATCTTAATTGCAATTATTAATCTGCAGGTAAGTACTATGAGAGCATAGCTAGTGTCACACTAGGCGAAATAACCTTTTTAACTAATGAGAAGCAATTACTCTGCGAGCTACAATCTATGTCTGGTGATTCTGCCGACGAATAATCTTAGGTACTTTTAATGTGTACTGAAAAACAGCTCATTCTTTCTAAAATATAACTGAGATTTCCCAAATTTATTATTCTGAAATTTAATTAACATTTCTGACTAATCTGAAATGCAAATAATACTTCTTGAAATTGTATTTAGGTACTAAAATGAAATTGATGAGACTTTCGGAAATTAAATTGGTCATTTACCGAAATATGTTTGGAAAAGGTAAAGTAAAGTACCTAGATGATACCAAGATTAAAATACAAGATTGTTATCCTTCGCACTAATATTAAAGTAATACTATGCGTTTATTGATTTCTCAGTGAGTCAGCTCAATTAATGAGAAATGCAAATACATTTCCGTCTATATTATTGAAGTCTTATAAAGGGTTTATATTGACAAGAGGTAACTATAGAGGTGGTCAATCGATAATCACGGAAAACCGCCACAAATGAAAACGACATAATAAGATACAACTACATATAGCTCAATGTTCAACTGTCTTCAAGTGAATTTATAAAATTATGTCATATATGTATGTCCTAAAATTATTATGTCATAAAATTATTATTAACTCATACTTTAACAATATTAAGCAATTTGAGATAATTCTAAATATTTTCCAAATATATACCTAGAGTATGCTACAGAAATAAATTCAAAATTATCGAAAACAAAAATAATAAGATAATCAAATAGAAGTACCTACTGAAAAAACACATACTTGATGTATTAAAATCAATTTGTGAAATTTTCTTTGTATTAAAATCATATGTTAATATACAATTTATTCGAAAACTTTTAATATTTATTATATGACATGAAACATTATAGATTATAGGTTACTGTTGCAAGGCATTATTTAATAGCATGGAAACAATAGCCTTCTTCTCCAATTTGGGACTAATATTGTCGTTAATATGGGGAAGCGGGTATTGTAGTTACAATTACCATCTAAATAAGCGTCAAGTTCTTTCACTGAAGTATCCCTACCTCAAAGAATTTTTCTACTAATCACTAATTGCCTATATATGAAATGAAATTTATATTCTATGTACGTTTTTTATAGATTTGGACCACCCATTTCAGAGTGCTAGTTATTTCTATCTCGTATTACGAATGTGATTATTCATCTAAAATAGGTATGAAAAGCATTAGTATATCTAATACAAGTCAATTAATATTGTGAAAATAATATATGCTTCCAGTATTCAAATATTTCTACTTAATGTCAATGGGGAGCTTTTCAATGTGAAAATAAAGAGACCTTTTCCGAAAGATTAAACAATTTCGGTACGTAGAATGCTCAAATGAATGATAAATGAATGTATTTTTCTTGAGAAACCAGATAAAAACTAATTCCAAATATCGTCATACGGACTGCAAAACCACATATTTACATTTTCTCATCTGATTATATGAACGGAAACAACTGCTCTGCAAACTAATGTCTCGACCAGTAATAATGTAGTAAACAGTTAAAGTCATTCGTCAGACAGAACCCACCAGGTTTCAAACTTAGTAATTCTCATCATTACAAATATCATAGGCTTCATTTCTTTCAACCCCCTGCCAGGGGTGAAAAAAGGTAAGTAAAATAAAGGGGTTTTTCAAGATAACTCAAAAGGGATAAAGGCTAGAAAAAAGTTTCTCATAAAGTTATAGAGCATAAAATTCTACATAAAAATGGTTCCTTTACTTTTTCTTGTACTATTAAAATTAACAGACTTATGGAGACTAGAAGTTAAGGGATGATTTCAGAAATTTAAAAAATCATAACAAGTAGAAAAATTAATGAATTTTATATATTTTTTTCGATCTACTCTAAAAAATATAAACTTTCTGCTCAGAAATATAGATATATTTTTTAATTTTTAATAAAAAGTTATAACAATTTAAATTTTTTAATCGTTAATTTTTATGTTTTAACACAAACAATTTGTTTTATGCCATTCGATTGATTATTTAAAATAATGAAAAGTTGCTTTCGAAATTTTGTTTCACGACAAAGATAAAAAATCACGTTCGCTTTGTGAAATTGTTATAACTTTTTTATTAAAAATTAAAAAAGATATCTATTTCTCTGAAAAGATAGTTTACATCTTTTAGAGCAAATTGAAAAAAAAATATAAAATTCATTAATTTTTCTGCTTATGATTTTTTAAATTTCTGAAATCATCCCCTAACTTCTATAGTCTCTCTAACTCTGTTAATTTTAATGGTACAACAAAAAGTCAATAAAAATCAAATTTTCATTTTATGTTCTACAACTTGTATAAGAAACTTTTTTTTTAGCTCTTACCCCTTTTGAGTTATCTTGAAAAAACCCTTTATTTTAACTTTTTTCACCTCTGAAAAAAATCCTTATTTAAGTCCATTTTAAAGAAAAGATAATCGACTAATGATAGTTATCATTAGTTTAAGGATTTTAAATTTTAAAAAAACGATGAAAAAATATAGAAAGTACAGAAATAGAAGAATTGTGGCTGAGGTTCACGTCCAAAGTGACATTATAGCTATTAGAATGAATTTTTTCGTTAGTATTCATTGGATTTTAGGATATCTAGATATTTGATACCTATTAAAGATGATGTGTTTATGAAAAATTGTAAAATTTATTCAAATTATCTTTAATTAAAAGTATCAGGGGCAATAATATAAATGTGTAATTAAAAAAGAAGGAGAAACTATTTATCTTGGTGGTCTTAATATAAATATAAATCTATTTAAACTGCAATTTTCTGCTTAACTGCATATCTAATTTTGAGTGTAACAATATTGAATTAGTCGACAAATACTGAATAAACAGGATGGACTACCCAACCTATTTGCTCTCTATGAACCATTGGTAATAATGGAATTACAAATTAGCAATATTTCGTCCAGTTGTACAGCTAAGATACTCTTTATATTGTTCTGAAAAAAGTCCTAAATAATATATGGGGTGTAACGGCGACGTTCCTCTCATTATAAAGAAACAGTAACTTTTTTTCATAAAACGATGTTTGTGAAGTACAGATTTTATCGTTTACTGCATGCATATGCATATACTAGTTTGAATAAAAATGGAACAGTTAATCAAAGTAGGTGTTAGCATGTCCTCTTAGGAAAAAGTCAGAGAGAAGCAAATGTCTTAAACATCGACCAGTTTATAGTATGCAAAAATGTGTCTTGCTATTGGTCAAACGGCAATAAAACGCTTCTATTTACGTTGGTCTACAAGCTTCCATAGCAGTTGTCAATGGTTCAATAATTTCCGGTCTGGTTAGATTTCTTGACGTTTTGAGAGACACATTGCTCTCTCCTTCAGATGAAACTGGAGATTAAATCCTCTGATCGGTATATAAATGTATTATTTGAAAAAAGATTTATTAATGAGGAAGGATACTGGTAGTTTCAACTGTCAAACAAATGTATTTTTCATTAAGAGCATATTTTTATATGTATAGATTTAGTTGGTCCGTCTTCATTCAAAATATTTATTCCTCTCAGTTTCGTGATATATTGCTTTGTACTTGAGAAGCAAGTGGTCGTATACTCATTTTTGTTAATAGTGTTGCTATACGGATTTTACATTTTATAACCCTGCATTCTCTTTAGAGTTCTATGTATTTCAAAATTAACTTTCTGTATTCCTCTTTGATTGTTATACTATGTGAAATAAAGTTTAAGTACACATCGTTGAAATCAAAATTAACAAATAATCCGCAATGTACCATCAACTATAGCCAATATATCACCATCAATTTCCTCAATATATTGTGCAACTTTTCAAAGTCGTCCACAAACTGTCAACAATATTGTACAATTTCACTGTCTAGGGTCCGCTTTAGAAACCTTAGGAATCTTTTTGGTTTTCTGTTTATTTTTATTACTGGAGGTCGTCATACCCTGTATTCATTGTCATTTGTTTAAAAAATTGCAGAAAAAGTTTTAAGATGCAACAGTAAATATTGTTCCTATAAAATTTGTATTTTTTTAGATGTACATGCAACCGTTAACAAATAATACTACAATTTGTTTCCATGAATATTTAAATGAAGCAAACATTAGCGATTTGAACAATTGGATTGCTTATTTACCATGAGTGGATTACGTGTTTGAACATCAATGTAAAAATTCTTGTTGATTCTTATTGAACCAAAACATATATTTATCGTAGATTAAGAGTTATTTCTTGGTGCTGTCCAAAAATGTTTCAACATTTACAGGATATGTATATTAGAAATAATTAAACTACAAATGAAAATTTTTAAATATTCAAAAGGAATAAATATAAATAATAAATATAAACTTCACGGGCAGTTGAATCGGCCTTTGACACACAAGTTGGTCATTGGATCGTCTTTTCCATAAATTCCATCAACATCCATCGCTTTTTGCAATAATAATATGCCATTTTTGAAAACTGATTTTTCCGCGTTTAATTTAAAGTTAACAAATCTATGAAATATGATTTTAAGTACCTTAAATTGTAGGTAATTTAATTGCCTACAATATGATATAACTAATTTTCCGATAGGTCAACTAGATTTTCATGGGCAGTAAAACAATTGAAAATACACGTAATATTGACACGTATTTGCAATTTGCCAACTTAGCGTCACTTCCTTCAAGTTCTAAAACTGGAACGCAACCATAAAATTTGAATCCAAACTTTTCTTAATAATTTATGTATCATTTTATTCACCTAAGGCTACATTTGCTATATCATTTTTATGACTGTTTATTGAAAGCTAAATTTTTTCTGGTACATTACATACTTTTTACTATCAGTACTATCACTATGAATCGTTTACAAGTGTATTCCTTGAATAAAAAAGTTGTTATTCATAAATTTATAAATATTGCGAAAACCTTAAGAGAAAATTCTTTATTATTACATCAAAAGACAATAGACTCACTTGTAATAGCAAAGGGCCTTCCGTTATTCTCCTCCGGTTGGTATCCATAATTATCCATGGCAAAGCACAAAACTATGAATTCAAACTTTCCTGCGAGGCGCTACATCCTGCGCGATAAAAGTTCCAATAGATAATAGAAACAGAGAGGAAGGTATTGTACTGTACTTGCCTCACATTATTTGTACGATTGACACAGTCACACATACGTCCATCGATTATTAAAGTACTATCGATTAGATAAACATTTTCATGGTTATTAATAATAGAAATTATTATTACCTCCCACTTCAGGATAGTCCAAAATCGATGATATTTTCGAAACTCTAGATGAGCTTATTGCAACTGTGTCGTTTATACATTATACAGGGTGTACAAATGATCGCGCTACGTATAATGCTCTCATCAAAATAATAAAAAATGGGAGAAGGACAATTTTATCTAACGACCTTTAACGATTTCTAAGAGCTCTAGAATCCATGGCAAATATAAGAAAGTAAAGACGGTTTAAGGTTTCTTATCAGTTCCTAAAGGACAACTGAAGATGCCATCTATAATCGACCACCCAAAATAAATGCAGGATTTCATATGAGGAAAGAAGATTTTATTAATTAAGTTGGCAAAGTTTTTACATGTTTTTAAAAGGTAGACATTGACATTAAATATGAAAGAGGATATCGGACATGAGTCCTTCGCGACTCAACTGGCATACAACTTTTTAATTCTGTATCACACTTTCGCATACCTGCTTCTGATTTTCGTTGAAAACTCTCCGAATTTCTGCCTTTACTTCAGGAATGGTATTTAGTTGAACATAAACTTTAGACTTTACGAACCCCCACAGGAGAAATTTGCATGGCGTAAGATCACATGATCTTGGTGGCCAAGTCACATCATTGTTACGCAAGGTGAGTCTTCCATTAAATTTCTGTCACAACAAGTTAATAGTTTCACTTGCCATATGGCTGGTGGCACCATCCTAATGGAACAGCATGTCACTCAAATCCATATCATTCAAATGAGGCCTCAAAAAGTTCAATAGCACCTCTCAATATCGTTTTCCATTGACAGTCATTGCGTTTCCAGTCTCATTTATTTTCAAAAAAGAACGGACTATAATCATCCCAGCAGCGTAAAATCCACACCACTCTGTCACTCTTTGGCTAGACAGTGGACGTTCTTGAATGATCAGAGGATTATCTCTGCTCCAGACTCGACAATGTTGCTTGTTATTAACATACGCACTATGATGGAAATACGCCCTGTCTGGTTTCAATTCCTGGGTTAGCTGAATCTTGAATGAATACAGATCTTTTGTTAAAATCCGCAATGTTGTGCTTTTTGAAATGTTTAATTGCAGTAACCGACGACGGCGCACTGAGGTTACGAGAATTTCCGCCACAGTATTTTAGGCTGAATGGTCAATATGAGGTCGGCTTATTTTTTATTGTCTGCAACTGAACCTGTTTGTTTAAATTTGGCAACTAATTTTTCAGTTATTTTATTCGGGGCGTTCCTTATACTGAAAATTCTATATAATTTGCTACACACTCTCAGTACTTGTAATGAATTTTCTTCACTTGCTCATCCGTCGTATAGCACTTCATTTTGTCTAACTGCAACGTGTTTACTACAACATGTGACCTTACACAATGTTGCCAACTCTTCGGGATGAAAATGGTCCATAATTCAAATCCAGCGTTACTTTTGGGACACCCTATATATGTAAATTTTTAACAAAATCTATTCAGTCATGTTGAAGAGAATATTTTTAAAACTGGATATTTAGATCATTTTCAATTAAAACCATTTGTGTCGACAACTTGGTTCGTGAAATCCATCATTCAAAAATTGAAACGGAAAAGGGAAAACAATAAATTTTCTAAAATCTCAATAATTATGCATATTCCATTAATTAAAATATTTCTTTAAAATTTAGTAATTTTCATTCTTTATCCGTCTCTATCTACTCTTATTGCTACCACATTATTAAACTTCCTTCAACCCATTTCGGAAATATTTAAAAAAAAATAATAATTTTTTGAGGCCCCTTTTAGGGGGGCGTAGCTCCCTTACGAAGCATTTCTCGACCCATGTTTATATGAAATAATATTCTTATTTTTGGTAATAAAATCAAGTGGTAAATTATTGGACACCCTATATATTTATCACATTATTGCAACTTGCAGATTCCAGCAGCATCCTGCGAATTCCCTTGAATTGTATAGGTCGCTTAACTCACGTCTGTAATTTCATACCTACAGATTCCAGCAGCAGCAGCAGCAGCATCCGGTGAATTCCCTTGAACTGTACTGGAAATTGTAATTCAACACCATTTCGTGATTTGACACCATTTCCTGCTGGGTCAGCAAAAAATGTAATTTGACACTTTATTTGTAATTTGACACCATTGAGTAAGCAAAAAATGTAATTTCATACCCTTATTTTGTAATTTGACACCTCGATTTGTAATTTGATACCTTTGTTTTGAAATTTAACACCGTGTTTTGTAATTTGACACCGTGCTTTGTAATTTGACACCACGACTTGTAATTTGAACCTTGTTTTGAAATTTGATACCATGTTTTGTACTTTGACACCTTGTTACACCTTTTTTGTAATTTCACACCTTGTTTCACCTTTCTTTTGTAATTTGACACCTTGTTTTGTAATTTGACACCTTGTTACACCTTTTTTTGTAATTTGACACAGTTTTGGTTGGGAACTATTTTTTTTATATAAATGACCAATACGAAGAAAATACACTACAATCTATCTCCTCATTTGTCTTTAAGTGTCTGATTAACCTAATAATAATACTCGCAATACACCTTAGTAGCTTTTACTGAGAGGAGGATTTTGCAAGGCTTGACAAAGGCGTTACTCAGTGAGGTGGAGATCCCGTTTACTAAAAAAAGTTAGTACCTTGGAGTAGTTTTTGACCAAAAGCTAGGCAAAAACTCTTAAAACTATTGAAATTTACTTCAAAGTATAAAGAAACTATGGCAAATATAATATAGTTCGTAAAAACATGTAAATTGAGGAATCCTTTTTTGGAATTATTTTACTAAAATATGTAATATAGGTTTCGGTACTCCAAAACATATTTGGGCAACTTTTCGCCTAAATAGTGGATTTTCTAAGAAATATCGAGATCATGGGTAAATTGTACTAAAGACACTGTGTTCAGCGCCTCAAAATACTACGGAAATGATATATTTGAACAAATTTTACGAAAAAACAGTTTTGACCCATATTTGGGTCAATTTTCACCCAAAAATTTCACTTTTCTCCAAAATTCATAGGGAAGTCATGAATTCTAACTATAACATCGTGTTCAGCCCATCCTTCAGAAATGATATGTGAGTATCTTGGGTTTGGACTTTTTTGTGTGTGCCTGTGTAGCCGCGGAGTCCTTCAGCCAATTCACAAAAAACGAACATACTACCACTTCCTCCTCTAATAGTTCAGAAGTGACTTCAAGTAAATGGTTTTGGAAAACATGTACTTTGCTAATTTCCATAAGCTTATTACTATTTTGTTAAATTTATACTCAAAGCTGAGCAAAATTTTTGTTCTTAATATGGCAATATTATAAATCATAAGACAGAGTCTATATTTCGAGTTATAATAAATTAAAAGAAAATAAAATATTTAGTATAATTCCTAATAATGACAAAATACAGTCTCTATAATTTAAGTTTGGGTCATTGCCCATTACCATATCAAATATTAAGGTCTCTGCTCGTTATTTCAACCGCTTTCATATATCGTCAATAGTAATGACGTTTTTCATGAACGAAAAACAGCCACTTAATGTGGTTGAACAAACTGTAATTGCTGTTATTATTTGTTCCTCAAATATAAAACTACGTCGCTTTCGAGACTTGATACTAATCCTTAGATATGTATTGTAACAATATAAAGCAAATTTTAGTGCTAATAAATGTTACTGTGTGTATTTCATTTTTATTCGTATGAAAAATTACCGATCCAAATGAAAGTCGTTAATTCATTAATATGCCTACATATAAAGAAATAAAACATTAGCATTGTATGCTTAAAAAGTTACTTAGAATACAAACATTGCCATTTTATTGATTTTATGTAGATACATGTAGATATGTACCTAACATATTATTAAATAGAAATGTATTCACCTCGTCAGTATTGTATTTAAAAATGCTTTTAAGGAAGAGAAAACCAACGGCGCGTTTTATTATAATTCAATTAATTATTAAGAATAAGTAATAAAAAAATTATTTACTATTAAGTAAATCATTATAAAATTAAATAAATAGTAGGAAATCCTTCCACAAGCACATTTTTAAAGATAGGCTTGCTTCTAAGGTTACGTAAAGATTGATTGTAAAATAAATTATTAAGGTATATTTGTACCACAATACCATATGGAGTAATAGGTACAATACCGCTCTAAAGGAGCGACAGCTTTCCATTTTCTCCACATTTTCAAAGTAGAACTTAGCCATGACAAAAACTGTCTATCAGAATGATTGCACGTAGCCCTTGAATTGAATCTCCTCTCTGTATACGTTTTGGAAACAACGATCTGAGATTGACAATCAAAGCTCATGAAAAATTTAACATCGTCGCAACACATAAACTTGATTAAGGATATCTTCTGAATAAGTTTTAATATAATGTAAACCGACTGACTTTTCCAGTGACGAGATCAATGATTCGATTGAACAAAATCGCATTTTAGTAATTTTTTGTTCTTTTAAGATGAATATTCTGGTCATCAGTATCGTTCAGTTAGAAATTTCTGAAACTCAAAATTAATTTTGAAAAACAACTAAGTACCTAATTCATGTTGGAGTTGAAAATCAGTGAAGTATAATATAAAAAAATTACCTACTCCAGAACCAATAGGAACACAAAATAAATTAAAATAAATCTAAATTCAGAATAAAGAGAAATTGACACTATCACGATATTAGTTACGAACTACTATGACCAATAATTAAATATTTTAATTTTTTAATGTATTTCATTAGTATATCTTTAGTAGTTCACTCATGCTCGTTTCCACCGTTTTAGGAATTTCTTAACGCTACGGAAAGAATAACTTATGCTAATTGTAAGTAACCCTTTTTATTTCCACCGAACCCTTATTCTTCTTGACTACCTAAATTTCGTGTCAAAAAATAT